GAGCTACATGAAGGGCAGAAGGACCCATGCAGCGACACGGGGCCGCCAAACTACCATTGGGGACACGAACAACGGGACAATGAAGCACCAGCTGTGCAACATTCCAGTCTGTCATCGGAAATCACATGGACAGATAAATTTATTCCATGGCCGGACAACCGAATCTATACCGTGTCCCGACGTGTGCAGTTACTGTGTGCGATATAATATGCTGATAAATCTGGCGCAATAACTGTTATCTTACCATGACGCTAAACGGACCCTGTTTGAAAACTGTATTCAAGTGTTAATATCCCATAAGTGAAGAGTGAGGACGCGTTTTGAAGTGCCAACAACCGTAAACAAGCAAGAAAACGCATGGAAATTCGTCAATCAAGGCAACTGATTCCCTGTCCTAGCGCAGAGTGCCATGCACGCGACACGCCGGCACTTTAGGCCGGTCCGTGTTTTCCTCGTGCCGACGACTCTTCCCGTTGCCGCCGGTCAGGGGATGACTCATGTGGCCGCCGGCAGGGAAGGATTGGGCAGGGTCCGGAAAGTCGGTCAGGCACCACTGGAAAGGAGCGGATGGACGCACAACAGATAGTGAGGCACAACGTAGGCGGAAGATAACGTCATAGTTCATACTCTACAGTTCTCAGGACGGCAGCCAACGCATTTGTTACCATTATACTAAAAAATAGGTGCTATGTGATACAAACGTTAACCAAAGGAATCTTCCCGAATGCTAGTATTACGCTAACTTTGGCTTCACGACCTTTAAGAAAGTTCAGTTCAGAATCATGGCTGATTCTACACAAAAGGTTTTGTAAATAATGTGCGGTGAAGTGAGTCTAGGAAAAGGAAAGGTATCTAAATATATGTATGATGCAGTCAAATGCTCTCAACGTCGAAACTTTCGTTACGAGCTTGAACACGAGTTACAGACTAAAAAGCTAAACAAATTAATCGTAATACCATGGATGAAAGAACCTGGATAGGAAACTCCTATTCCTTCAACATTACGGGCAGCGTTCCGGGCGATCGACCTGCCACCTAGCGTTCGGTAAGTATCGGGACTGGAAACTCCCGCCGTTAAGCATTACGGCCTATGGGGGACGCGGGGCGGCATGTCTTGAAACGGGTATTAGACCGCAATGCGGATTTATTTTTAGGTTTAGAAGCTACTTACGACAGACAAAATTGATCAGGCTATCGAATGAGACCAAAACTATTATTGTCCGTTCCGCACAAAAGTCGTACACGAGGGCCGAATACAGGCGACCTTGAAAAAGAGGGCCATTTCTAGTGTTTTTCTCTTACGCGGCGCCGGTGAACGCTTACGCGGCGCCAGTGAATGCGCGGCAGACGCGGCTCCCGCTGCCGCCGCGCGTGCCCTCGGGCACTTACCGAAGGGAACGCAATCAGCTGTTAGTTTCCAATCCAGGTTCTCCTTCATCCATGGTAATACTTTCCTGTGCACTTTTGTTCCAATACATTGAATCGGAAAATTGATAACGCCCCAGCCCACGTAATGCACGCTGGTCGTAAAGGCCCTGGCCTACACTGTCCCAAATGTGAAATTATGTGTTCTACCTAAGTCAAAATTTGTTGACATCAACCAGCTAAGTCTGCTTCCACCAAAGCTTGTGTAATGTGTTCGTGCAATCATCCATTTCGATTAAATCTCCAGAACGCGTAAAATGATGCCGCCAAAATTCGGACAGCTTACATTCTTTACACAAATAACCTGAATATCTCGATGCCCTACCAGGACAGGTCAGTCAGGTCATGCCCTGCCTAAATCGGCAGCTTTTGTGATCTGGGCGAGCTTCCTTGCCTTCTAGCATAAGTATGCTTTTGCATTTCAAGTGAGATTATTGGTGTTTATCGATATCCAGGTCCGTGAACACTGAACAGCGCCCACGAGCAAGGCTGCGGAGTCGATGTTTTTGTAATTCCTACTCCAGCTTCTATGGTCAACTCCGACTTTGAGTCCAGATCCGACTCCGGACATTTCTCTAAGTCGATATCATCATAGTAAAGCTCATGTCCAAGATCCATATTTTTATCTTTCTATCTAGCATCTTTTATCTAGCCTTTTTATTTGAGCTCTCACTCGAAGCTTGCTAATGAAACAAACGTGAAATGCGCGGATGGACGTCTACGCAACTACCGCATATTTGTGAGAGTGCTCAGTGCTGCGCTGTTCATTGCGATTAAATGTGCGAATGTGACAGAAATTCCAGCGTTTTCACTGTGGCTGGCATAATATATGTGATTGGGCGGAGGAACCTCTGTCTGACGGTGGACCTCGGTTCGGTCGGGCCCCTCCCGACCGCTCGACCCTTACCCTTTATCGAGATAGAGCCTTGCAGAAAAATAGAGCATTGCTGCTCCGTGACGAGAGGAAGCAAATGCTAACCGATCTTGAGATCTTACGATTGAGCATTGCAGATGGCTGATCTCCCAGGTCAGTTCAATGACCTATTTCATATGTCAGGAAAATCAGGACCTGCTCAATCTTCTTGGGGGTGGAGCAGATGAGTCTTTTCTTCTGTGGAGTATTTTGGGGTCTTGATTCTGATTTTCACACTAGTTTTGTTTGATAACGTATATGTGCATTTGGGATGGGCTGGGTGCTAGTGACTGGTCACTTCAGGTAAACCAGCATTTGTCCCACTAGTTATTCTCAGCAATATTTCTTATTTACCACCAATGATGCATTTACCAGTCAACCAAGGTCATCAAGTAACAACCTAGTCTGAGTTCGTCAGGCACATTGGAACCCTACCCCCACTATAAGTGTGATGGTTAGGTACCTACCTAATCTATGAAAGACACTGCTGACTTTAATCGCTGACTGACTTTGCTCAACATCACTTTCGACATCACTGGCTGTCACTAGCTGAGACTTTCTATGCCGTCTAGTCTTGTATGATGTTCAATATCATGCTTGTGTGGGGCATGTAAGCTTGAACTTGAAACGTCAGTCGGGGAAACTATGGTAAAATCTGCTATTTTTAGCAGTCTGCTATTTTTAGCAGAAATCTGCTAAAAATGGGTACGCATGTGACGTCATCGTACCCAAAAATAGCAGATTTGGGTACGGCCCCATACAAAAGCAGATCTGCACCCTAATTGAAGCAAATGCGCATCAAATGCCTGGCAGATTCATGATGAGAATAGTGCTGAGAATGTCCTCTGATATTTTTGTTCAGATCCGACTATTTTCAAATAATGAATTTGAAAATAGTCGGATCTGAACAAAAATAGCAGAGATCACTCTCAGCACTATTCTCATCATGAATCTGCCAGGCATTTGCTTCAATTAGGGTGCAGATCTGCTTTTGTATGGGGCCGTACCCAAATCTGCTATATTTGGGTACGATGACGTCACATGCGTACCTATTTTTAGCAGATTTCTGCTAAAAATAGCAGATTTTACCATAGTTTCCCCGACTGACGTTGCATGCCATCTGAGGCGTGCACTCAGTAGTCAGTCTCAGTCCCCCAGCAAACTTGGCGCACCTGGTGCGTGCACATGACATGCTTTGCAGTATGGGGTGAGGTTTATGAATTTGCAAACACAAATGCAAATAAACTGATCCAAACGATCACGAGGCAAGATCTAAATCGTAGATGCAAAGCATCTTTGCTTATTGCTCAGGCCAATATTGAAATAACATAAGAATAAATATGAAAAATGAAGTACTTACTCTTTTTCTGGTGGAGGCTCGTATGTAGGATCTTCATCGACATCTACATTATTCTGATCTTGAAATGGATCAAATTCGTCCACGACAGGCTCGGTGGGATCAATATCCACGCTTGTTACATGATGACCGGCCGACCGATGTCTTCCTGTTCCAGGTCTGGCGGAAGCCATGAGCTGTACTTGTATAGTGTATCTATGGCTTCAGCTGAATTAAAATACAAAGACACAACTAGGTACGTTCCAGCCCCGCCCCGACGCCCGATAGCTTTCAAAACTCTTCGGCGAGCAACAAGAGACACTCCGCCCAGCTGAGGGAAATGTTTATAAAGAAACTGTCGACAATTCTAACGCACATATGTCGAGAATTTCTCTAAAGGAATTACTTTACTCATTTTTAACGTTATAATTAACATAAGACATCTTAAATGTATTAGGAAATGAATAAAAAAATGGTCAAGGAATAAGTAAGAGAAAATGAGAATAAATTGATCTTTCAAGAAAAATTTTAACAGTTGATATCAAGTAAGATACAAGTAAGTTATACTTTCAAAGTAAAGTGGAAGGTCGTTAAAGAAAAACTGCTTCCATATATCGTAGTAGGACTACCAAATCAAAATAGCAAAGCTTTGAGACGTTTTGCAGAGTATATAGGGCCTTGTGCAGGGCATATTGCGAATGAGTTTGTGAGTTCATTGTGTTTATTGGATAAACAGCTACAAATATTGAAAAAACGTCCGGGGTCGTACGTCCCTGATCTGTCCATTTGGTCTTCGCCACCCTCTTGTTATCTGCTAGTCAATTTTGCCGCAATTAATACATAACATTGTGCATGTCCATAAAAAGCAGCAATTCTCCAGCTGTCTAAAAAAAATCAGTATAAAATCGAAAATGATCTAGATTTAGCACAGCAAATCAGAGGCCAGTTTTACCAACAGAAAAATAGCCGCCTGCCGGAACCTTTTGCCTAAAAGACTGCTTCACATACGGCACGTGAACAGTAAAGCCCTATCCGCTTAGGTACTGGCATGTGCCCATCGCGTTTATGCTCAGCATGTGAAGCAGTCTTGAGGCAAAAAATTCTGGCAGGTGGCTATTTTTCTGTTGGTAAAACTGGCATCAGATCAAGATTTCCTGTCCTGTTTCCAAGCACTTGCTTCAAAATGACCTAAACACAAATAACCTCCACATCATGACCTAATATCCCAATAGTGTGGTTACCTGCTTAAAAAAAGCAAGTTCTGATTTCCTTACTTTCCATAGATATTTATCTCAATCTTCAAGCACTTGCAAATCAGGGAACTCACCTGTTGAACTCACCTGTTAGGTTTCCTTGCTCATTGCCCAGATGGTGGTAGGGTTATTAGAGACAGGAAACCGTGTCGAAGAGAGACGTGCCAACCCGGACAATAGATAAGCAGGACATTCAGAACTGGACTGTGCAATTGTTAAGGGTTGGAATGGTACGTCTGCTTGGGTGTAGTTGTTGCTGATGGAGGTAGTCTTTGTGCAATTTGCAACAACAAAAGAAGTGTTGACTAAGATGTGCGATGAAGTGAGTAACATATGGAGAATGAGATGAATCAGAATGGATAGACAAGATAGTGAGGATTTGGGGAGGGAATTAGGAACAAGGGCGGGGATGGGAGTCCCTGGCGCGTATAACCCCACTCTTGCTTGATAAGAGGGGGCGCCTACCAGGGACAGGCAGGATTGATTGGGTGTGTTTCTTTTTCAGCTACTGGAGATAATCAAATAGTCGACTTCCGAGACAGGTTTCCAAGGCAGACTTGAACTCCTTCAGTGTCTTGGATGTGACCACCCAGGTCGGCAGGGAGTTCCAGTCTTGGACGACACGCTGGGAGAAGAAGCGGGCTCTGGCGTCAACTTGACTGCGGCTCACTCGGATTTTGAACGGATGACCTCTTGTACGAGTGTCACGGGAGATATCCCATAGATCTGCAGGTTGTATTGGACAGTTTCCGTTGAAGATTTTCCAGCATTTGATCAGGTCAGCCCTCAGTAGTCGTCCCTTTATGGAGTAAAGGTCGAGCGTTCGTAGCCTGTCCCCATACTCTTTGCCTTCAAGTCCCTTTATCTGGCGGGTCCATAGCCTTTGCACTGATTCCAGCCTTTTCCTGTCCTGGACATATCCAGTGTTCCAGACAGGCGACGCGTATTCCAGAATAGGCCTGATGTGCGTTTTAAGTATGTGTATCATAAATTCAGGTTCTCTACATACTGTGCCTTTCAGGAGGTTGTGGGCTACGCCGCCGGCTTTCCTTGTCACTGTTCTGCTGTGTTCATGGAACTTCAGTTGGTCGTCAACGAGTATTCCAAGATCAACCTGGGCGACTGAATCGGGAAGTTGACGTCCATCGAGGGTATAGCTGGGTCTATCCAAGATGTGTGAGCGTCTCTTGAAACGAAGAGTGACACACTTCTTTGAATTCATGTGTAATCCCCATGACTTGGCGGTTGCGTGGAGAAGGTTGATATCAGATTGCAGACTTGCAGTGTCACGGCCGATGTTCGAACTATCAATGCATGTGTATATTTTGAGATCGTCTGCGAATATCTTGTAGTGACATTTAAGGTTTGTCGCGATGTGGTTAATATATATTAGAAAAAGAACTGGGCCGAGGACTGACCCTTGGGGTACACCACTTTTGACGTATCTTGGTGCGCTGTATGCATCTTTGACGACCACTTGCATCGATCTGTCACATAGAAATTCTTTGAGCCACCTTAGAAGGTCTCCCCCGATGCCTATGTGCCCAAGCTTGTCTAGCAGAATATGGTGACAGACAACGTCGAATGCTTTTGCAAAGTCGAAGAGGATAAGATCAACTATTTTCCCTTTGTCGATCTCACTTGATATATACTCGTAAGTGGACAGAAGCTGGTCCTCCGTAGACATCCCTGGTCGAAAACCAAATTGGTGATCGATGAAGATGTTGTTTTCATTGAGGAAGATGTTCAAACCATTAGAGATCAGTCTTTCCAGGCATTTTGCGGGGACTGATGGCAAACAGATCGGCCGGTAGTTCAAAGGATCGACGTGAGACCCCTTCTTGAAGATTGGTACCACGATCGATAGCTTCCAGAGTGAGGGGAGTGATCCTTCTTCCAGTGAGAGATGAAATATCCTGGATAGAGGGCGAGCCAGGTGAGCTGCACACTCAGAAAACGGGGATGAAGACCGTCTGGGCCCATAGCAGAATTCACGTCGAGATCCATCAGCACCTTCTTCACCTCTGCAGAGTCGAAATCGACGGATTCAAGTGCTCCATCACACTGTTGGTGAGGTGCTGGGTGTGACGGCACTTCAGGTCGATACACACTGGCGAAAGCTTCGGCAAAACATTCTGCCATCTCAATTGGACTGTCAGTTGTGGTGCTGTCAGGAAGTCGAATTGGTCCTACTGAGGAGCGGAACTTCTTCTTGCTGCGGAGGTGAGCATGTAGTAGCTTTGGGTTCTCCTTCATCTTCAGAAGTAGCGACTTTTCATATTCCACTTGCGAGTAGAAAGTGAAGAGGTGAAGCTCCTTATTGATTCGCATAAATGAAGAGAGGAGATCTTGAGTGATGTGCGATTTACGACCATGTAGAGATCTAGCACGCTTGTATTGTTGCCATGCCCTGGTACGTCTCGTCTTGAGAGATGTCGGAGGATTAGTCTTCCAGGGGACTTTGCTCTTTGGTTTGTTGCGATTAGAGATGGGGATATATTGGCGTATCAGTTGCTGTAGGACTTGAAGTACCCTGTTGAAGGCCTCTTCTGCGTTCAGGTGCGCAAGTTCAACATCCCAATCCACCTCGCTGAGGGCGTTGTTGATATTATTGTATTGTCCTTTGTGCCAGAGTATGTGACCAGGCACGTGTGATGATGAGCAAATTTCTTTGTCGAATGTGTACTGACAGTGGATACTGCAGGGAAATTGTTTTATACCTGCCTAATGTTTGTTTGATTTGTGTTGCATTGAAAACTTCACAGAAAGGAATACCTAGCATTACATCCAGGAAAGGGAGGAAGATGGGATGATTATCTCGATCTCACTTCTACTTTTTCAGATATGTACCAGCATGGAGCCTGCCCAAAGTTGTACTGTATGTAGCAGTGAAAGGCCAAAGTACAGATGTCCAATCTGCAGACTGATGTAGTAAGTAGCTCAATGATTTAGTGTAATATTAATAGCACTACTTGTTCTCTCCATGTTCAATGATGGTAGGCATTTCAAGAAAAGTGAGAACTTGCAAGTTAAACATTATTCCTTCTTCAACCAGCAATTCAATAATCTTCAATTGTCAACCACAAATTATGTCCTGCATGTCTATGTTGAATAGCTCACAAACTGTACACTAATGTTTTTTTTTTTTTACTTATCACCAAACTGCACTGAACCAGTGTTAATGTTTTTTTTACTTATCACCAAACTGCACTGAACCAGTGTACTTTTCAATTTCAGCTGCTGCTCCAGCTGCTGTCAGGCCCACAAGTTGGCGTGTGTGGCTCCAGAGGCTGCCAAGAGCGGCCAGCCAGCCGAGAAGAGGGAGCAGCGTGTGCTCTGGGATGAGTCCTCGGACCAGGTGGTCTCTGCACAGGCTCTCAGCTGGCTCAGTGAGTCTGCCACGCCGGCTGGTGCCGTAACCCGGCGTAGCTGTAAAATTGAGCCACGTCAGTGCTGTGTTACTTGTCTCCAATCTCACCATCGTTTCACATCAGCAGTACGACTTTCGATCGCCCCACTTCAAGCCCCGATTTTCACCTGACGCCCGTCCCCTCCCCCGCAGGCGAGTCGCGGCGGCTGCGGCAGCTACTGAACAACCCTCACCTGCGGGAGCTGGTCCAACAGGCGGACACCACGCCGCACCCCGACGACGACCTGCGCCGGCTCATGGTTGAGCCGCTGTTTGTCGAGTTCGCCGACGAGTGTCTGCGTGTTGTAGAGGGTCGGCCCGAACCCATGGAGGAGAGCGACTGACAGAACGGTGTGAGTGGAGATGGAAGGGACGGGTACGATCTGACGGCGCGAAGACGAGCATCAGGTACGATGACGGGTTATGATATGGTTGTGGGGACTTCCAGCCTTAAGATGTGTCAAAACCGTCGAATACATTGAACTCTTTGTCGAAATGTGTTGATAGATGAGTGGTGATGTAGCACGGGTAGATGTAGCACGGGGTAGTTGACGCAAAATGTTAGCTTAGAAACTACCTACTCAATATTTCCCAATAGTATATTACCAAGCTCAACGTCTGGACCATATCAAATATAAATAACAGTCATCACAGCACACTGGTAACCTGCATATACGTCTCTGCGCACTTATTAACATCTGAACTTGAGAACTGGGTCATATCACATGCAGGAGGCCTGAAGCTTTGTACTGTGCGTGTGCGAGGCACGTTTGATCACGGGACGGCACGGCGCGGGTGGTCGTCAGGAGACCATCCTGTGCAGCTCCTCCAGGGTGCGCAGGAAGCCGGACAGCTGCTCCAGACCCTTTCCGAGCAGCAGTCTGAAACGCGCAGGTGCCGCCGGGTCAGTCTGCAGTCCGAACGTCATCGGGAAACGCGCCCAATTCTCGATACGCCGGCTCAGTGCCCGGTAAAAACACCCGACACACTAAAAACACCACTATTCGGTGCCCCGCCTCCGCTCATTAGCCAGCGCACTGTCCATAATCGGTAGATACACGGCATAATATATTAATCAAACACCGCTCAGGCGCCTTCTTTGAGGCATTAATGCCGAATATAATACCGTCGCTCTGCATGAATGGCATGAGCAACGTGAAAGCGTAAACTGGACCCAGCAAGTCTCGAGTGGCACCTGCACCCCATTGCGACCCTTTCCCGAGGCCGGTGGCCAGTACCTGTTGGCGGGTGACCGGAGGAACCGGAGTAGATTCAGGGGCGCCAGGGTGACCTCGTGGCCGGCGAGGGCCACCAGGGCACCCAGCGCGTCACACGCGGCCACCAGTGGTGCGTGGTCAGAGGTGAGCGCCACCACCGAGACCGACATCAGCCTGGGGGCAGGTCAGGGTTGGGATCATCCTTGGGACAGGTCAGGTCAGAGGTCAGAGGTGAGCGCCACCACCGAGACCGACATCAGCCTGGGGGACAGGGCAGGTCAGGGGTCAGATGGGACAGGTCAGAGGTCAGTGGTGAGAGCCACAACGAGACCGACATCAGCCTGGGGGCAGGTCAGGGTTGGGATCATCCTTGGGACAGGTCAGGTCAGAGGTCAGATGTGAGGGCCACCACCGAGACCGACATCAGCCTGGGGACGAGGCAGGTCAGGGGTCAGATGGGACAGGTCAGGTCAGGGGTCAGCCTGTGGACGGATCAGCCCGGGGACAGGACTGGCGGGGGTCAGCAACACAATGACACAACCATCAGTCTGGAGACAAGTCAAGTTCGGCGTGTTATTCGACCTAACATGAAATAGGGAAAGATGCAGTTAATTATGTCCTGGCCAGTGGCCACACCGATAGCTCAAACGGCCGTTGTGAATGACAACACACACCTCCATGAGTGCTCACCGTTTGAGCGCACCGTTGAGGTTTTGTACGGCGGTGCCCAGCTCTGGGAGGAACGCGGCGCACTGCTCTGGGCTGGGCGGTACCGACGGCCGCTCGTACTCGTACTGATGGGGTACTCCGGCGGCATCCAACAGCAGGCCGCTGTCGGGGCGGGAAAATATCAGTCAGCAGCACACCACCTGGCGCCCCGCCGCCACGGGCCCGCCACTCGTCAGCAGCGCTTACTTACTACGCAATATCTAACCAACGACCAGCCGCGTCCTCCCAGCTGAGACTGATGAGACCAGAAATTCTTCGATGCGACCAAAGCCTAGGCTAAACCCGGAATGAAAAAAAAAATCCAGGGTGATGTTTCTTTCGGGTTCTTTTCAAGTCAGAGCAGCTCATCGAGTCTCGAAGCATATGCTTTGTCACCTAATTTCTAATAATGTGCCGATCACTGAGCAAGCGATCTTGTGGCACGTAAAGGCGTACGCAAAAAGCGATATAACTACTGTAACTACTGTTACACTGCTGTACTAAAGAAACAGACTATGGCATCGGACGTCCCATCACCGCGTGGTCCATCCCCTCTTACCAGCACGTGTTGACGTATGCCCAGACGGCCTGGAACAGGTCGAGCACCTCGGCCGGGTCCATGTCCTGCTGCGACTCTCCACCGGACCCCATCACGGCGTCATCATCGTCGGGTGGCGGCGGCGTGCCGGCCGTCCTGTCGGCGTCCTCCTCCGCCGGGGCGGGGCTGCCCGGTCCCGGCGGGGGGCGCTCCGCGGAGCCGGCACCGTTCTGACGGTCCAGCTGCCGGACCGCCGCCGCCAGGGACACGGCACGACCCTCGGGAGGGTCGGAGGGACCGCCCTCGGCCGGAGCAGGGGACGGCTCGGAGTGCGCGGCAGCCCGGCCCCCCAGGGAGGGTCCCAGCGCGGCGAGCGCAGCGGCCGGCGGCGCGGCGCCCGAGCGGAGAGCCTCCACCAGCGGCTGGATCCGCGGCAGGTAGTGGTCGGAGGGCTGGAGCAGCGGCAGCAGCGTCACCAGACCGGAGCACAGCGAGAGCCGCTCCTCCGCCGACAGCACCGTCCGCACTGGCGGGACAGCGTGGAGCAGTCAGACAAACCCGACCGGCCGACTGAGACAAGGACAGCGCGCACAGAGCCGCAGTGGTCAGTATCGACAGCCGGAAAGTCAGACCCATCCGAAAGAGACAGGACGGGCACAGAGCACACAGGACCGAAGTAGACAGCACTGTCCCAATGGCGGGAGGGCAACGGGCCAAAGCGGTCAGCATGACCGAAACTGGTAGAACGAACAGGAACGGGCAATCTAACATAGACATAGCTAGTGCGGCTGGGGTACATTAAAATTCCAACGCCGTTGGCATCAATTATTTAACAGTCGCTACATCATCATGATAGCAATAAACTGGTGATGTCATACAGACAAACATCCGGGACAATTGAAAAAAAAAAATGTCCCATAAACTCTGAAGCGATCTAGCACCATTCGTCACGGCCAGCATCTCCACTTCACCAGGGCACCGACTGGGCGCGCTTTGGTCACTCACCGGATAGTTTGAGGACCTGCTGCCAGTGCGACCAGCGGTCTGCGAACGCGGCCTTGAACACGGTCCGGTGGCTGCAGACCACCGAGACCAGGTCCCTCAGGGACCACCAGGGCCGGCGGAGACCGGGCAGCGCCAGCCACGCGGTGCCGTAGGTGAGGGCCATCTCACGGCGGATCACCTGCGGGTCGGACAGTGGGGAGGGATGGTACGGGAGCCGGCGAGACACGGGCGGATATAGGGGCGAGGCAATCAGACGGCGAGAAATAACAGCCACCATATGAGGAGGGACGTCAGGGGAGGGAAGGTCGGGGAACGCCAGAGAGACAGGAAGACTGCCTTGGTGTGGACAGGGAAGGCTTAGAACCCAAGAAATGGAGGCAAGACAGCGGCCCGAGGAGCAAAAATGTCTGGGCGAGGTCGGAAAAGGAATCTCGAAATCTATTATGAACGCCGAATGTTTCTTGCACATGCACATAAGAAAGCGAGATGAAACGATACAATGCAACGTAACTGGCAACACTAAAAAACGTTCCTTATGAAAATGCATGCCATTTTTTGAATGGCATTGGGGAAGACAAAATAGCTTACATAGGACAGCACTTTCCGAAGCACGATCTTGGCGAAGCAGATCTGGTTCTCTTCCGTCATTGTTAGCTCATCCGTAATGCCTGTCAATACAGCGTTTATCGATGACAAAATTACATCGTTTCTTTACTCGCTCAATGCTCAACACATGTCGACAGCAATTGACTAGTGGTACAATGACGCTAATGCTCTGGCAGAAGGTGCCCAGGCTGCCTGCGACCAACTTGTTCTCCCTACACCCTCATGTCTCACGACAGAGCCACTGTGCACCCCGTCCCGTTCCCACCCGGCAATAGAGGCAACATCCACACTCCATCCCATTCCCAACTGACCACAGGAGGCACTATCCACCCCGTCCGCTCTCAACTCACCGCAGAGGTCGGTGTTCTCGAGCAGCTGCTGTCGGTTGACGCCGGTCAGACCGTGCAGCAGCACCTTGGTCAGCAGGTTCTTATCGTCGGAGACCAGCAGCAGGTGGTCGCGCCGGCCGGCCGCCAGGCAGCACTCGAGGATGGCGTCATCGGCCACGCGGCCCTCCATTCGACCGCGCGCCGCCGCCGCCTCCTCGGTCGTCTGGCCTGAGCGCCGCGGGCAAAGGCGAGCTCAGGATCATCGGATACCCAGAAGTGCAAAGTTACAAACAGATGTTTGAAAACAGAAGCTTGGCAAGTAGCTGAATTCCTGATTATCCACCTAATATCCGAAAGTGGTCAGCATCTCAGCAAGTTGATCTTTCGCTTTATCGTGTGAACTCGTTCACATCATGACAACTAGCCTACGATAGTGGGTTAATCATTACCCTGACCTGTAGGCTGTAACCTCTTCGATTTTACGGTAACTGACCTCTGACAGCGGGATGACGCGCCTGGAGACACTCGAGCAGGAAATTGATGGCGGCGCGCGCCTTCGTGCAGACAGTGGGGTCACGTGAGGGCCCGTCCTGCTTCAGTCGATCCAGCTCCTGGACGACTACCCAGGGTATCAGCAGCTGAGGCCGCATACCTGGACACAGACAAACATTAGCAACATGACGGAGAGCATTGCGGAAGAGGGAAACGGACCGATCTCATCGGAAAACAAGAAAAAATATTACACATAAGTCGATTCCGAAGAACAAACACGAATGACGAGCGTGCTATCTGACCAAGAACTAGAAAGTGAGGCCGACACAAACACAAACAAATTTTTATGTGCAAAAGCATGTCGCATCAGCCATCCTGGCTCGAGACGAACCTGAAATAACACTCCACGACCTTTAACCACAGCTCAAGAGTGCTCACCCTCTATGTATGATACATAAGTCGATTCCGAAGAACAAACACGAATGACGAGCGTGCTATCGGACCAAGAACTACATAGAAAGACTGAGGCCGACACTAACACAAACAAATTTGTATGTGCAAAAGCATGTCGCACCAGTCATCCTGGCTCGTGACAAACCTGAAATAACACTCCACAACCTTTAACCACAGTTAAAGAGTGCTCACCCTCTATGAACGAGTCTCGCAGGTCCAGCACGAAGCCCACGCCGTGGATCAGCACGTTCGTGTCCAGTACAACCGTGAGGTGTGTGGGCGCAGCCGGCTCGGCGGCCGGGGGAGCCGGCTGGGTGGGACTCCAGCCGGACTGAGGAGCCCCAGTACCGGCGGAGGCGAGCTGGTGACTCCAGGGCAGCTCGGCGACCGGGGCACCACCGTCGGCGTCCCGGACACAGGCGATCTGGCCGGAGTGAGGACGTGTCAATGAACGGAACCGTAACGCACGCATAAAGCGTAAAAACAGCTTTGAACATATTTAGGCTAATACAATTTACATTTTACATGAAAGAAACCAGATTAATTTTAAAAGTTCAAATGCATTATGTGACTGAGCGTCTCGATTACATTAGGCTTAAACTGCAGCTGAAACCAATGCAATATCAGAACATACACCCATCCGGAGTTCGAACGACCATCAGCTGCTGATGACACTAGCGCATAGCGACTTTCGGTCGCCAATCAAGGTGAACTCGCAAGTACTGTTCTAAATCTGTGGTCTACGCGTTTAACGTTGTTTAGCCGCGGGAACTGACCTGCGAGAGCACTTGGTCGTCGTTCAGGTCCGGCTCATCCAGCTCCATCAGTTCCTCCTCATCCAGCGCCTCCTCCTCTGGCGGGGGCGGGGGCGGTGGCGGGGGCGGCAGCAGGAGTGCAGGCGGCAGCAGTGGTGGTGGGAGCGGTGGCTGCAGCGTCGGAGGGGCCGGGGGAGGCGGCGGCGGAGGAGGCTGAGATGGAGGCTGCTGTGGGGGTAGCGGTGGCGGCAGTGGCGGCACGACAGTCTCCGCGCATATCGTCATGTCTGTAGCAGGCTGCTGCCGCCGCTGACTGGTTCCCACCGAGCCATTCACCCAGGAGGCCTCTGTCACAGCTGAGGCCGTGGCTGCCGCCCTCGCCGCCGCTGGGGAGCCGTCAGCGGGCGGCGCGGTGGGAGGGAGCGGCGGCACCACCGCCACCCGAGCAGGAGAGCCTGACGGAGCGGACCCATCAGCCCCCGGCACGGCGGACGGATGAGTCGGAGGGGCGCTTTGTGAAGGGACCCCCGGCTCCGAGACAGGCGGCCGCTTCGGGATGGTGTAGTGCTTGAGTGCGGCGCTGGGCTGCTGGGGGAGAGGCGGCACCGGAGGTTCCTGCGCCGGGCGTCTGGCTTTCGGCAATGGGATGTCGTCGTACAGCTGAGGACCCCTGCTGACCACCAGGCCACTTTTCTGGGCATTCAGAGCCCGTTTCGCTCCTGCTGTTGGAGTCTGTGTCGGCGCGGTGACCGCTCCCTTGGAGGGGGCGCCGGTCTGCGCGCCCTGAGCAGTCGTAGCCGGTACCGAGCCTGCACAGCTCGCCGCTTTGCTCGGTGGCGCAGAGTGAGAGCCGGACTTCTCAGGAGGTCGCCGTGCCTCAGTTCCACCGGCCGGGGACTGCGGTTTGCTGCTTGGAGCGATATACTGACTGGAGAAAGCATTGCTTTGACTGTCGATTCTAGCTCTGATTGCTGCTAACCTTTCTTGAATCTGTGATGCTTTTGTGACTGTCTGCTTCTGTGTCTTGTCATCAGTAGACTTTCCAGTGACTTTGGTTTTTCCTGGAAACAATTTGCCCCAAAGCTTGGATGCAGAAGCACCCACCTGAGATGCACGGATTTCGACCGCCGGCTTTTTCTTGTTGTTACCAGGCGGCGATTTCTGAGCGTGTTTAGTGGTTTCATCTTCCTTGCATGTGTCTGAAAAAGATCGTTTTCCCGATGATGTTGGCGAAGACAGTCCTTTCTGTTTCTTTGAGACAACTTTGTCAGATGAATCCTGTTTCAAATATTTTGAGGGTAGCTTAGCTGCTGTAGCCTCATCACTAGCTGAGTAGCACACTTCTGCTTCAGAATTGCAGTCCTTGAGGGTTGGCTTTGATAGTGGCAGCTTTCTTGCTGCTTTCAACACCATTCTGAATGGTTTTTGCTCTTGTTTTGTACAGCCATTAGATGACACTGCTGTTTCTGGACCAGTATCAGAGCTGGCAAGGTCCTTATCTTTTGCCTCAGAATTACTGGCCACAGGCTTAAACTTCTTAGATGGACTTGTCTGAAACACAAAAATTGTCATTACAATGGTAAAAGGAAAAAAGATACATTCATGCTGTGCATTGAATGTATCATCATAGGCTCTAAAAAAACTCAGATATGCATTGAGATTGAACATCAGTACCACTATTGAGATCTGTCTATGCTTGTATCCTGCATGTATTTGTAGTTTATCATGGAATGAATTGCCAGTTATGCACAAATGACAAATAAGTGATTTCATGCTTGATGAAACATCAGTAGAAAAAGATAACCAGTGACTTTACATGTTAAAGAGAGTAACAAATCAATCAAATCCTGGTTGCATGCACAGTACCTGTACCATCATTTTGTGGCTTATAAAAGTACAATATAAAAGCACTTAAAACAACATGCTTACATTTTCAAGTTGTTTGAGCCCACGCTCAAAGGCCAGCACTTCAGGAAGACTCCAGAGTGATATTTTCCTGCTGGGGTTGCAGAAATACTCTTTTCCTTTTTGAGAGCGAGATGTCTTGATAACCCATCCCTCAGGCAAAGACCCAATTACAGAATTATCCATTTTTTAATTCAAGATAATCATTTAATTTATATTTTAATACTGACCTACATAGCTTGTCTCCTGAAACAAAATCAATTAAACTTTCAACCAATTATTCTGTGTGTGTTCACTGTTCAGGATGGTGATAAAGATATCTGGCCATCTGGGGGCCAGGGGGGGGGGGGGCAGAAGTATGTACAAATCCATGGGTATGGCTAGCTAGCTTACACGCTACACGCTAGCTGGAGTATGGCTCCCAAATATCTGGAAAAACACAACACTTACATACAGAACAGAGATCCCACAAGTATATAAATTCTGATGAAACATAAACCACACATTGTTTCCCGCAGAGCTAAGCAAAGAAAAAGTAAACATTTGTTCAAATTGATAGTGACATTAAAGGGAACTTGCATGAGTTTCTGGAATCAGAAAAAAAATGTTCAAAGACTATGACTCAATGTTTTGAGCCGTGGTGCTGACTGGATTATTTGCCAGCTGGCGCTGTATGCTGGTGCAAGCAGAGCTTATTATATATCAATGTTAGGCATAAAAGACTAAATATCTCTGTCAATTTCTGTATTCAAAGCCATTTTTGTGTTTATATCTATCCACTACTATGCTTATATGTAAAAGCACAGTAGGTACGTACCTATCACATATTGCCAGCTAGCCAGCTAGCTGACGCAATCCAGATATTACCGAGGCCCAATGTTTTTAGTCAAGAATATCTTGCTGGTTGTCTGGTTCTGTAAATGTTAACTGTTAAGAGTGGCAGTGCTTTGACAAAACAAAAATATGGGCATGACCCCTGCATTGAAAAATACTACCTACTGATACGCTAATCCAGTCCCAGAGGTATCAGAGGCCTCACAATTAATCATTATCATCAACGCAATGTGAATGCTGAGATCATGAGATGAGATGAACTGACTTTCACCCAGTAGGTATCAATAATTTCGCAATTCCAATTCCACCCCACACGGCGAATGGCGATGTTGTTGATTTTTTGTGTGTTACCACGTTTACCAAGCTGGCAATAATTGAAGATATTTTAGCCTGATCCCTTTCATAAAAGGAAAGGCATGTTTCGCTCAATTCGCCAGTACAATTGGTTTATTTTATGAACTCACGCTTTCACTAACTGTAAAGTGTAAGTTAGAACATGTATCTAAATGCAATAGCTGCGCAGTATCTGCCTACATTTTGGAGTTCAATGCCAATAGGTGATTTACAAGTAGTTGCTTTGAAGTCCAGCTATTCTTTTGGCCTCCATATCAGAATTAAATACATTACTTTTTAATTTTATTTTTAGCTATTTTGCGCAACTTAAATAGATAAGCACGTAGAAAATAATAATAAGTTAAGAAACGCGTGGTAACGTAAGGAAGATGGCGCATTATTTCATTTGTGACGCAGCAGAAACGACCAGTAAAGAAACGAGAACGACAGTTATTTCGGTTTGATTTCAAGTCGGGTTGGGGATGAAATCGTAAATAGATTAGAAGAATAATAAATACCTTAACATATTCATTCTATAAGGCTCAGAATAACTATAAGACACAACTTCAAATCGAAATTAGCATCAAGAAGCCGCAAAATGTGTAACAATCAAGGTAAGTTTGCGTCGGTCTCCACTCTGGCTCTCTTCAACAGTTCTCAACGCCTTGTTGGGGCGCCATCCATAATGTGTTCCAGAATGTCCAACGTTTGTAGTTACAGAAAGTCTGGAAATGCATGGATAATGTGACTGACCTAAGTCAATCCGCTGTTCTGGTGGTTCTGGTCATGTTCTCGAGCAATACGTAAGTCGTTGGTCCGTCGGTTGGTCCGAGCTCATTTTGATTTAGGTTCTAGGGTCGTGAAGTTTTTAGAGAAGATGTGAATTTGAATAAGGGAGGTGCTGAAAGTATCGTCACGACCCGCCGCATTTAACACGAGTTATTCCCAAAGACTGGGGGGGGGGGTCCGTTCAACCCCCTTTACCTAAGTGCGAGGGTTAAGATCGTTCTGCCGGCCTATTAACATGCCTTCCGAGTTCCGATAGAAAGAGGCTGGCGTTCTGATTCTGATCCATAAGCTAGTCTCGGTGCCGGTGGTTCTGGTGATTCTGAATCTGGTGTCAGCCCCCCCCCCCGTACATCACGCTCAACAAATTTCAAGTGTCGCTGACGACCAACTATCACCCGAGGCAGCCGCCCACTTCACTTTTTTGACTTACCTACTGCACTTTCCCAGACTCGGTTGCAATGGGACCTAGACCAAAGTATTATGGGCTGCAACTGCACGCCGGTCATATTTATAGTCACCGTGGCACCGGGCACGCCGTTTATGGTCGCGTCTAACTCTGGTCTCTCCCAATTGGATTGATTGAGACCGCTGTTTGGTTTGAGGGTGGTGATGCAGGGTGCCTTGATCGTCCCATCGTTTCTTCCCGAGAGCGAGCGCCCCAGATCGCTCCTCCAAAAGATTATTCATTGGGCCGAACTTTGACTTCTGTAGCTAGCTGTCACCTCCAGGACTGAGGAGTGCAGAATCGATGGATTTTTGGTGACTCCGACTGCGCCTCCAACTTCCAAAAATCAACTCCGATTCCGGCTCCGACTACGGGGGCAGAATTGTCGCGACTCCGACTTCGTAGCCCTGGCTCAGCATTTGTGACCACGAGCGGAGTGATCTTTCTCTCCTCTGCTCTGAGACATAACAGTCATCTTCGTAACCCAGACTGCCTTCACAGTTCGTTTTAGCCTGCGTCACGCTGGGGGGCGGGGGAGGGCCAGTCTCGAGACTGAGCAGTGAGCACCTACAATATTTTGCAATTTGCAATATCTAGACCAGCATTTTTGCAGATGTCGGTGTCCATAATCGGTGTGAAACACTGTGAAGTATGTTTTGCTGCATCAGCTTTGTATCGGCTGTCCAGACCGTTTCATCGTGGCCGGGTCCTCCCGTATCGTTGCATTGCAGGTGCCATCGCCCCTTCTCAGCCTCTATCCCATAATCTGGTCTGTGTAGACGGCAAACAGGTATCTCGCTGACCCCAGGTGCAATGTTTTGGTACGTCGCGACAACTTTTTAAGTGGCGTTTCAGTTTGTTACACTGCAACTGGCGACCGACGGCTCTGCGGTCTGTAAGCCCCCTCAATCCTCATAGCCCGCTTATCGCAACGTCCTGACCGCCGACTTTCTCCTTATTTAAAAAAAAGATGTGTTCTTTGGAAAGGATTCGGTCGCGCTCTCACTTCTGATCTGTGTCTCGATTGGTAGTATCGTGGAGAAGAGAAGCAATATACGTTTTTGGTAATAATAAATTTTGTTGTTTTAGGTTATGCACTTAACTTGGCATCATTACTGATGAAGTTCAATTATGCTGTGAGAGGTTGAGTGCCGCAGTCTTACTAGTTTGAATTTCCGTTGCATGTACCTATCTGGTCGGGATTGGTTGCGTGGTGGATGACAGCAGCCAACAATTACAAAGCAAACGTTTGTGCTGATTTCAGATAAATTAAAGGTCTTTCCGTCAGTTACAACCTGTTTTTGGTTTTTGCAAGTCATTGTGACTGGTGTCTGCTAACCACATTCCGTTACGCTCGCCGTTGCATCAGTTTCTAGGTGGATATGAATCATGGCCGACATACGTCCACCGACATACGCGAACGGTGAACTTGTGGTTTATCGTTCAATTCATCATCATTCACTCGATCTCCTTCATGTCCTTCTACCCGTCCTTTACACCAACCCTAATCCACTGGATCTAAAGAGATAAGCAAAATATATTGCGATTTGCGAATACTAATAAAGCCAGGGTTTTGGTGTTTGTTTATTTTTCCAACTAAACAAACAAACAAACAAACTGTTCACGAACAATTGTGTTCGCGGACAAATGACGTCATCAGCCAAATTTTGGTAGGGGAAGTTATGGTAATTTGGCCGCGTTTTTTAGAAAACGATGTAACTTAAAATTGACAACACATTTCTGCATTTTCTCAACGCTGGCAGGTGTCGCATTCATTCTAATTTACTGGACAGTGAACTTGAAATGATAGAGTAATTACTTATATTGTAATTGTGACGTATTACAAAGGTCTGCAGGGCGGCCAAATTACCCCACTAGCAGGGTTATTTGGCCGGGGGTGTGGGGCAATTTGGCCGGTGTTAGTTTGAGGCCGAGATTTTTTGTTATAGGCGAGTCAGCTTCGCATTCAGCGATGACGTGTGTCCTACGACGCATCTGACGCATTTCGGAGGTTGACTTAACCAATTACAGGGGTCGAAAATTGTCAAAATAGTGGCTCTATATGCGATCACAGTTTTTTAACGAATAATTTTTGAAGCAATCAAGCTAGGTCAAAACTAAAAGATTCATCGTAATTCTCTCGTCAGTCCGCATCAAAATATATGTGTTGACCTCGAGAGGTCAAGGTCAAAGGTTGACTTAAGGTCACGCTACCTCAAGTCGCTTGACCTCAAGGTCACGTGATTTCAAGGTCATCATGCATATCATTCGATGCGCCTTGACGAGCTGAACACAATGAGACCATTTGCGCGGCTGTATCTTTTTTCTGTTAGGATTTATTAGCAAAAAAAAAAACGTTTGGTTGTCTTTGATGACGTCACCTGCTCTTACAGCTGTCCAATAGGAAATAAGGCATCAAGGTAGTCAAAGTTGGTCATGAATTATGTCACTTATGGTATAATTGACCATGACAACTCGGCCGTCCCAGCAAAGCGACCCTGAGCCAAGTTGCCCCGGTACTAGCGGGCGTTCCCGAATGTTCATGAACTGTTTGCAAACACGGTAACCAGGGGGTGGATAAGACCACCTCCTAAGCCGTTTTGCTTTTAATCGAGCTAGAACCTTGCATAAAAGTAGGGCGTTTGCGGCGCTACGAGATACAGTGGCTGTTATCCGATTTTAAGGTCTTAGGCTAAACGGTGACCCCTGGGTCAGGTCAAAGTCAAGTGCCCCAAAATAGAAGCTTGTTTTTTTTTTGGTAAATAACTTCGCCACACATGGGGTCAGAGCCGTGATTGTGGCACCATCGTGCCCGTAGGGGCCAGTCGAATGCCATATGCCTACTTTTGTTTGGGTTAGGTCATTTTATATATCGACTTCAGGTCAAGGTCAGATCAGATCAAAGCCACTCGGTTCACAAAACTGCTTGGAGGGTGTTAGGCTGCATATCATTCGATATGGCAGTTCGTTCTGAGTCAGTAGATGACTCAACCGACTCGCTAACTCAATTTGTTCGGGGGTTATTGGCGAAACTCCCAATGCACCTAACAACCTAAGTGACGTCTTATATGACGTCATGCAAGGTCCGAAATGCACAATTTAAGCTTCAGCATTGTAATGTAAGAGCATTATAAATTACGAATCCGTGTGCTTGAGATACGGTTGGCGCATTTTCACATGTAAAACATGCTTTCAACCGTGTGTGTCACTGTATGAGAAAAATAAAGCGAAATATAGGTATATAAGAAACGATTACTTGTTCATGAACGCTCATGAACGTTCACTAACTGCTCATGAACAGAGCATTGCTCGTGAACATGTGACCTTGAATGAAGGACTTCGTTAACTATCAAATAAACAAATAACCATTGTTCACGAACTGTTCACAACAAATATCCAAACATCAAACACTGAATAAATCCGATAGCCCAGTATGTCCGATGGGGCGAGTAAGTGCGAAATGGTAAATAGTCAGGATGAACCAAAAGAGCCGAAATGAGCAATGCCACCAATTACCAAATCAGTGGCTTGCTGGAGCAAAACAAGCCAAAGTACCAAAAGAATCCATGCCAAAACATAATCAAAGGAAGCCAAATTCAGGCATCGGAATGTGACATCCGAAACAGAGGAAACGAATCGTAATATCGAAACGTCCAAAAGTGCCGAAAACAGATTGAGTCGAATCCACACAAGCGAGATGAGACAACTGGTCGAATCACGCTGGCAGATACCGTGCCACGACCGGGGCATTCCACGTCAAATCGAACAAAAATCGGCTGTTTTGCACCTTACCATCAGCGATTTCATTATAAATTTGTAAGCGAGTTCCTGTGTCGCCCCGGACATTACATTGATGTTTTTTGCACATTCTGACCACAGGTCTTCTAAATATAGGGCATCAAATTTTTACAAAATGTTGCATCTTTATATTTTTGAACGACCATAACTTTGGTTGTACTTGTTTGATTTGAATGAAATAAACCTTACTGTTTAGGTAATTTCTTAAGCATTTGTTTAGAATTGCATCGACTTAAATATATGACCTTGAAATTTGCTTAACTCTGTTCTTAAGCACAAAAATTGAAATAGCAAAAAACACGCCACCTTCGATTTGGCTCATTTTCATATATTTTATTGCCTACCATATTCTTAACAACCTGTGAAAAAATTAGAGTGGGCCATTCATAAGTTTTGAAGAAAATGGCACATATGCAAACGTATGTTAGCACGCGCAGTGGAGGGGGAAGAGTGAATTTCGCCCCACCCCTCCTGTTTTTCGCCAATATCTCATAATATTGATGCGAAATTACTTATGGCTACCTGTCCAGAATTGAATTGCACATCTCATCGTGCAAGCAATAAGAAAATCGGTTCACAACT